TGCTTCTACCAGAAGCCAGCTACAAGGGAGTTAGTCAATGAAAAGGGCTTATTTTACTCAAATAATTTGGGAGACAGTCCATAAGCCTGTGCATCTGCTCACAGAACTGGGGTCTTTCTCTTTTCTTCTAGTCCCTTTTTGGCAGGTAACTTCTGTTCCCACGGCTGCAAGAGGCACTGCTCTGCCCCAGAGGGGAAAGCACAAGCCACAGAAGATAAACTCCAGGCAAGCTTCTTTCTCCCCAACATTTTCCGAAGTGCTGTAGGATCTCTACTGACTTTTCATTAGCCAGAACCGAGTCACATGACCGTTCCTAGTTTCCAGGGCATTTGGTAAAGTCATTTTACCTGAGAACACTTAACTGGCTTCTCTTAATTGGGAAGAAAAAGAGAAAGGGTATTGAGAAGACAGCTAGCTCGGCCGATCACAAATAATAGAATTTAAATCCTTCCTTCCTTGTTCCTCATGGGCTGAACAACTGCATGAAATGGATTCCATAGAAAGAAAAGAAATATAGTTATAAAATATTAATGCGACTATGGGCACGACATCACAAAAAATTTATCCAGTTGAACTCAGACTTTCCACATTTCATCAAAAGCAATATGCATATTCATTACCCTAGATTTATGCTTGCCTTTCTGCCGCTTGGGACAGAGCTGTGCACATGGCAGACATTCACTGTGTGTGTGTTCATGTGTGTCTCTGTGTGTGTGTTGTGTAAACAAAGGAGCGTCTTTGGCATACAGTATAGCACCGCACTGTGTCTTGAAGTCATAAAATCATGAAGTCGTGTGTCTTGTTGGCATATATGGGAAGCCCCCGTAGTGGTGGTTGAGGAGTGGTTCTGGGAATGGTTTTAGTCTTTGCTTGACCGTGTTTTGTCTTCCTTATGCCCTTGCCAGATGGGTAGCTCTTTGGTGGTTTGGTTTCATACATCCAGATTTTAGAGAACTTTGAGAAATAACAACGCAAAAGCTACCCCCAGCATGATTTAAAAAGTGCAATGGCCTCATCCTTTCTTGAAACATTATGGTGCTCTCTTCTACCTCTCCCATCCAGAAAAGAAACCTCACTTTCTATAATTATATGATTTTGAACTTTCTGAATATGAGATTATAGTATGGAATAGGATTTCCATATATACACTTAAACTTATGGACACACTAAACAGAAGAATATAATGTGATATTTCCAGAAAACACCTAATACCCTCTTCAAATCTGACTCTAGGTTTAGGGGTTCATCATTCTTCCCCTCTCCTTGAGGAAGGGTCTTTTTTTGTCTCAATAGATAGTTCACAGCCTCACAAAATTAGAAGTAGAGGCCATGGTCAATGTCAGATGATTCTGCATTTCTGTTGTGCTCCCAGCTGATGTCAGTGCTAATGTTCTCTGGCCACACTTTGAGTAGTGAGGTGTTAGTTTTAAAGCTTGGTTGCCTTTTTGGAATTGTGAGGTGAGTTTTTACAAATACTGCTGTCTGGGTTCTACCCAAGAATTACATTTATTATAGGGTTGGCATGGACATTAGATTTTTTACTTTTATTTTTTATTTTTTTTAGCAGGGGGGAAGGGTGGAGGGAGAAGGAAAATTCCAAGCAGACTCTGCACTCAGTGCGGAGTCCAACGCGGGGCTTGATCCCATGACCTGGAGATCATGACCTGAGCCGAAATCAAGAGTTGGATGCTTAACCACCTGAGCCACACAGGTGCCCTTGGACATCAGATTTTTAAAAGCTCCCCCAGGTGATTCTAATATATAGCAAAGTTTGAGAACCATAAGCTATGAATACTTTTCCCCATGTGTCCCTCCAAATACACAATTTGTTAACTTATGTTTCCTTGTATGCCCCCACCGTGGCTAATATGAATTTCTGAGTGGTTTTTATGCCAAGAGAGTGCCTAGCCCAGGGCCCCATTCTTGGCATGGGCTCAATCAGAGTCTGATGACCACATTAGCATATAGAAAAATGCCGTTCTGTTTACACGCTGTGGCAAGAAGGGAGAGAGGATTTTTCATTGTAAGTATGGGTCCAGCACATTTCTACTTACTGCAATTCCTTTGCCAGTCTTCTTCAAGGAAACCCCATACAGAGGGTTTCCAGATCTTGGGAACCTAGGGCAGACAAAGGGGAAAAAATGGAGAGTGGAGGTGTCAGCAGAGGAAAGAGAGTAAGGGAGGGAGGGAGAGAGAGAAAAAGAGAAGAAGAGGAAGGGGTAGAAGAATGGGGAAGAAATGAGAAGAAACTAAGAAGGATATAAGGGTAGCAGAAGTTGAAAAATATTGACAAAAATTGACGATCGGTATTTACTAACCACCGTCTATGAGAGGCGACAAAGATTCTTGTGGAGATCAATGAACATAGGGTTTTGTTAGGGGACAGGAATCAGGCACTCAGAAAGTTACATTGAACTATGCAATGAAGAATAAAGGGAAATAAAATCGGAGATAACATGGGACTTACAGAGAAAGACCCATCAACAAATTAGTTTCAGGGCAATAGACAGCACAAACTCCATTTTTACATGGGGAAATGGTATCACCTCCATTGCCATGGATCCCTATTCTTACTTGGCTATATCAGCTAACTCAGATTACGCACATAGGTGACTCCTGAAGAGAGAACATTTAACACATTTCGTATCAAGGAGTCCTTCAGGGAATTATTTAAATATTTTATAGTTATTTCCTCTAGCCTGTACCATCCAGTATGTTGCCTGCAAATATTCGCTTTGAGAAAAAAATTAATTTTCAAAATTTACTTGTAGTTACCCTTTGAGAGTCCTCATACCCACTCCTAACCCCATGATGCACATCTAGAAATTTCTTCTTAGAGTTGAGGTCTTGGTACTAATGTTTTATGAGAATAAGGAATGGGCATTCAATCCATTCAAAGTGGTGAAGGTTTGGTATCTTGTTATCTTTTCTAAGAAACGTTCTTAATTTGATGTGTTGAACTTTGGCAAAGTGAGTCCCTTTAGTGACATAAAAGCAGCCAGTCTTTAAAAGACGCTGACAGATGCTGAGAGAGTTTTTTACAGTGGGGCTGAGTTTCCAGCTCTGCTGCATGTAATTAGGCAGGCAGATAGAGCTTCACTCATTTTACTAGCCCAGTGGGATGGAATGAGGCGGGGGCCCCAAAGTTCCGCTTACTTCAAGGAAACACACTGTCTCTTTAACATGTGTGTCTCCATTTCTGTGAAGAAATAAGAGTCTGTGTTTTCATTTTATAAATTCTGCACACAACTGAGCTTGTGGTAAGGAACACATCATTTCTATTTATTTCAAGCAAGCGTAATTTATCCATTTCATAAAGAACTTGGATGGTAAAGATGGGGTACACGCATGATTTAAGGATCAGCATTTTTAGTGTCCTAACATCAATAAACACAGAATGCATTGTCTCGGCAATCTGGCTCACCTGAATCTACTTGAATTTTCCTATTTTGCCTTTTTTTAAAAATTATTTGCTCTTCAGGGCTTAGTACTCTGGTGTCTGAAATGCTTGTGTCAATAAACAATTGAATTGCCAGTTTTCTATGTCAAGGTAGCATCTCTTTCTTTCAAACTCTTGGTTTTCTCTGCTACGTTTAATTGGGAACTCTGTGTTTGGCTCGTAAAATCTCTGCAGACTGCCCCCCGACCCCTTCAACTTTTACGTTTAAAAACCCAGTCTGTCTAAGAACAAAGCTGGGGCCTCTGGGGAACAGAGAGAGCACTCTGTGGGTCCCTTTCCCTTGCAAGCCTCATTCTAGAACTAAGTCCAAAAGCTTGGCTCATGTGTGTTGCTAGTGTCACCTCTTCTGTACCAAGCAGAAAGCACAAGAATCTTCACAGGTGCTGGCCATATATTCTCTATTAGAATCGTAACAGTAGGACCCAGCAATGAAATGTGAAGAAGCAGAGAGGGTCCTTGAGGCCAAGGGGCCAAATTCAGAATAGGGCATCTCATTTGAGGAGAAGGCAATGTGAGCAACACAGAACCATGCAGGGCACTGGGCTCTAATGACAGGAACTCAGAGGACCCAGACATGGACAGAACAAATTGGTTGAATTCCTAGACATGTTGCTCTGTAGGTCGAAAGGAACTTACCTCTTAAATGTGCATGCAGGCCAGTCTCACCCTTTTCCAGATTTATCGAGGAGGCAATGTTCCTTGCCCAAGACCCAAGAGTCATCCAGAAGTAGAGCCAACACAACCCATGATCCCTGTGTACTAGTCCAGTGGGTAATGCACTAAAGATATGGCATTGTGCGGGACAGACAGGTTAGTCCAGTGGGAATAATGAGCAAACCTGGGCCCGAGCCAAGTCTGCTATTTACAAGTAGTATTACTTTGGACATAGGACTTAAAGCTTTCTGAATTTGCTAAGCTATAAAATGGTAGTAGTAATATCTCTACATAAGTGTGGCTGGTACATAAAAGGTACTTGAATATTAGGTCCTTCTTCTATACCTCATTGCATCTTGCCAAGCCCAAATTTGTCAGGCCAAGTTTGTCACCCATATATGCAAGATTTCCTCCTAACTCAGTACCTTGGCCTCTTGTGTCCACCAGGATATGGAATGGTCCACATCTGATGGCAGTAACACTGCTCGTAACTGTAACATATAGGGCTCCCTCCTACTGCTAAGAACACATTCAACTTCCAAACTAAAATTTGACAGGCCTCTTATGGGCCGTGCCAGCACTTTGAAAATAAAACTCTTGAAGTTTTAACAGAAATATTTTTTTACATGATAGGACGAAACCATCTGGAACTTACTGCTTACATGGACTGAAAGAGCTATATCAACAATAGGGTTGTTATAAACTCAGGCTCCACACTGTCTCCTAAAGGGATTAGACAGGTCTCATAATGTGTTCTAGACAGAAAAAGTGACCCAAACAGGGGCTGAATCCTTAGATGTCATTAGTATTTTCTCATGTCAACGCTGGGATTTGAGAAGACAGAAGGAATTGACTTACTTTATATACTTGTCTGATCCTTTAGTACTTAATGAAAACTAGAATGTTTTATTTCACCCCTATGGGAAAATAGCTAAACTGGGCAGTTTGTTCCTGAAATAAAATATCAGCAATCAAAATAGTCTCAAGGTCTCTTAGAAAGCAGAACATCACAGGCTTATTAGAAAGTAGGTGCCCCAAGCTTCTAGGTGCTGTTAACATTGTTTTATTTCCTTTATACAAAAAGTAGAAATGACAGAAAAAACACTCTTGACAGAAAACAATACCACTGACCTGGTCTCATTTAGGAGCTGAGCCCAAACTGCCCGTTTTACCGGGAAAGGAAAGTTCAATCAACATTAGCAAACACTCATGCAACTGATGAAAGACAAGATGGCGCCAGTGGCTTTAGGTGGACGTCGTGTGGGTAGGCTGAACCAATCCAATCTTAAAAAACATACATTGGCCCAATCATGCTTTTAAACGTCATCTCTTTAGAAACAAGTTATATATACAGATATCACCCAAAAATGTGTATTATATAGTCTACTACTATAAATTTAAGGCATCCTGATACCGTTCTTCTGCTGGTGAGGCATTGGTTCTCATGATTCTATTTCCACAGTGGGTAGTCCAGAAATTTCCAATGGTGTCCAAAGGGCGGCAGTGAAAGATAAGAAAAAAGTGATTTACAAGAAGAGTTCTTTTGACTCTGGCTCAGCATTGTGCTTTATGCTGTAGGATTTCTTCATTTTTCTATTGATGTCATTATGCCTAAGCAGAAGAAAAACCATAAAGGCCAGAATTAGATAAAACTATGGTCAAGTTACAAGACAACAGCACTAAACAGCTCACCAAACATGGAAACTATCCTCATACAAACCACACTGAAGAACACTTCATTCCAGTAGGCAAATTATTTTCTTTTCATATAAACCACTCTTTAAACAATAAAAGCTATAGTCATGTAATAACACACACTTAGTGAACACTTTTTAATCCAGCTCTGGAAGTAATTTCTCAATCATGCTGATTGGAATCCAGGCAAGATTCTCGTCAAGTGAATTTCATCAAATTCAAGTCAAAGTCACGTCAAATAAGATAGTAAGTATAGTAATGCTGGTTGAGTGGAAACAAGAGATGTTTATATTTTATTGACATGGATTCGTTGGTGACATCTTTAATGTCCAATAAGCTCAAGTCTTAATTGTTCAAAGAAGATGTTTTTTTTGGGTGTGTGTTTACTGTTGGAAGATCATAAGTAGGTAAGTCTAGGGGAAAAATAATGCTGTTTGCTGCCCCCAGGATCTGATACCTAGTAAGCCTATGTAAAGAAATACCAGCTTAAGCCTTGGAACAGTTGTGCTGTGTAAGTGAATTCCCTTCTGGGTAGATGCATTCATTTTCATGAGATATTACTTGCATTCTGGGTACAAAAATCTTCCAGAGGGGAGTCATCTCCTGAAGGTGGGCCAGCCTACATATTAATAAATTCCTTCTTGTTGCTACATCAGACAAAGACAAAGTGTTTCCGGTAATGCTACTTGCTAACATGAGGACATATTTGGATGGAGAGCCTCAAGTGGGATTTTATGGCCTCAAAATTGTGCTTGCTTACAAAGACCATGTAGTCTATTCTTAGTGTTCCAGTAAGTATTTGATCTTCATCACAACCTGAATGTTCTAATTCTTACTTTATTCTTACTTTATTTATTCCTCTAAATAGAACCTTATTAATTTTTTTAAGATTTTATTTTTAAGTAATCTTTACACCCAAAGTGGGGCTTGAGCTTATGACCCCGAGATCAAGAGTTGCAAGCTTTAGCGACTGAGCCAGCCAGGTGCCCCTGAATAGAACCTTAGAGAGTGTCTGTGGGCAAGAAAGGGAAGAAGGGGCAAGAAAAACCTGGTTGGCTAAAAGATGTTCTAGGGACTTTCAATTAAACATGGTGGATTAAATACATACGTTCATCACCCTATTCTTACAAAACAACACTAAAAGGAAAGTAAAGAAATAAAAAAGGCATAAACCTAAATGAATAAGGCAAGTGAGAGGGGATGATAACAAAATACCAACACTATTTCAGAAACAGGAAGGTGGATGGGCATGTGGAGTTGATTTAGCAGAGTTGAAGATGCAGAAATCTAAGCCTATAGGCAGGGAACCCAACAAACTGATTTGTGCTGCAAGATGCAGAAACCAAAAGCATTATGTATTTCTGAAGGTGACAGTGGGTGCTAAGTGGGTGCTGAAAATCGGAAGATTATCTGAAAAATTTTTGGAAGTAGCAATTCATATCCCAGATTACCTCCCTGATCAAATGTAGCTGGGTATATATCTCTTTCCCACTGAAAGAAGACTGGAGGTTACAATTTACAAGGCATGAGCCAGAGAGACTCTGAATTCAGCTGAAGGGGGTGGAAACCAGAAGATTAAATGAAAGTCTCCCTAAGTGAGAAAGTGAGAATATGATTCTCAACCCATCTCCCTTTAGTCTGACTCATGAATGCTTGGCATTCAGGTTATGGGCCCTAGCAGAAGACTGGAGTTTCCTTAACTTGAGAAATGAACTGGCCAAGAGAAAAGACCTACAAATACTGACAGGGACTTCCCCAACAAAGAGCCTTGTCCTCACCAGTTCGGGTGAAGCAACATCTACCAGTCCATAAGCCTCACCCATAAAGTCGGAGCTTCCATTCAGCTTTAGTGAATATAAATGAGTTGGAGATCATCAGATATTTGAGGAAAGTGCTACTATGAAAGACAGGACCAAAATAAACAGAGAAATGGAAGTCAAAGTGAACAGAGATAACATAGGGAGACAATGAGGACTTTGAACATCTTTAACAAGAAAAGAAAAACTGGGAAAATGTCTGTAATTCATAATACAAAGGGTTAGTCTTCCTAATATGTAAAATATAAAGAGCTGTTATAAGTCATAAGAAGGTGAGAATCTCAATAAAATGAAGGGTTAAAAAGAGGACATTCATACAATGAAATAATACGTAGCTGTGTAAAAGAATAAAGAAACTATATACTAATACATAAAGACCTTCATTGTGTTAGGTGAAGAAAAGCAAGAAGCAAAACTGTATCAAACACCACTTTTACTGCAAAAAGGAAGAAAAGAAAAAAATATACATTTGTATTTGTCTGTAAAATTTAAGTAAGTCCTGCATGTATAATGCCACAAAGAGGAAACAGAGAAAACCAACAAAGTACTTTTAGAAATTAACACTATTATAGCAAAAATAAAAAATTAGAAAGGTTGGAAGGTACACGTCAGTTCTTTCCTAAAGGAACTAGAAAAAGCAAAAGTATGGATAAAGATAGAAAAATAGTTAGCAAATCTGAGGATTGATTCAGTGTGTCCAACATTACAATAACATGATTTCCAGAAAGAGTGATCAGAGAAATTGGAATGGAGAAAACTTTCAAAGAAATTGTACAAAAACATTTCCCAGAACTGCAGCACATAGGTTTCCAGATTGAAAAAGCCTGCTGAGTGCCCACATGTCAGGAATGAAAATGGCATCATGACAAAGCATCAGGAAATCAAAATACTGGGGATAAAGAGAAAATCATAATAGCTTCCAAGGGATTTGCAATTAGAGAGGAATGGAGCTTTGCAACAGACACATTAGAAGCAAGAAGAAAATGAAACAGTGTGTTCAAGATTCTGAGGGAAAATCGTTTCCTAGGTAGAATTCTATACCCAGCCAAACACACCTAATTCAGGATGAGGGCAAAATGAAGATCCTTTCAGACAGACAAGGTCTCAACAAATTTAGCACCCATTCACCTCCTAAAGATGGGAAGATGTGTTTACCAAAACAAGAGCATAAACCCCAAATGGGAAAAGACAGATTCAGGAAATAGGGCTCTACACAGGAGAGAAGCAGAAGCAATTCCCAGAATAATGTATGGGGGAAACACCAGGAAGACAGCTGTATAGCCCTGCCAGATAGCAGCAGTCCAGACCGGGGCAGGAGGAAAGAGGTTGCTCCATGAACAAACTGAGAGACACCTGATTTGTCTGAATGTGCTGAAGGAAGGATTCTGTCTCCTGTGAAGTGTTTAGAAATGAATTGTAAACTGAGAAGCAAAAATTACTTTCTCCCCTCAAAATGTAAAGTTATAATTAGAAAGGAAATGCACGGACCTAATGTGATTAATATTTAGACAGCCATAGTAATAATAAACACCAAATACTAATTTAACCCCAAAGAGAGATACAACTGTATTAATAATGGTGGGAAGAGGAAGCAGGTGTGTGTGTGTGTATGTGTGTGTTTGGGGGTAGGGGGCAGTGCTGGGTGCTAAAATAGAGCTAGACAAGTTTGTTTCTTTGTGGAGAATATAGATTTTTGGAATCCCGGCTCCATAATTTATTATTATCATTACTGTACAAACTTGGGCAAGATACATAATCTCTCTGTGCCTTGGCTTCCAATCTGCAAAATCTGATAATAATAGTATTTACCATATTGTGTTACTGTGAAGGTTAAAACAGTTAATATGCAGATGGCACCTAGAATATTCTTTGGTACACTGTTAATGCTTTATAAGTGTTAGCTATCATTTTACCTTTTATAGTGGAAAGCCAATAGGTAACAGAGAGAATATCTAAAGTTGAGTATCTGGCAATACAGAATACTAGAGAATACATCTGAAAGAAAGCCAAGTGGTTGATTCAGGGGAGTGGGAACACAGAACAGGGTAGGTTGGGCAGAGGAGAGCCAATTTTTGTTAGGACGCTAGCATTATTGTTATATATACCTATAGCACTTCGACAAAAAAGTAAACGAAAAATCAATAAAAGTTAAAAAGAAGGCTTAGGTTGTAGTTTAAGGATGATATCATCATTTAGACATTAACAGAGTATTTTTTGCTTTAATGTAAGGGGTGTTGTGGTCAAGAACACTAAAAAGGAACACTTTCTGCAGGACAAAACCCAGCATGATTAGAGCCGAGTGTATATTTGAGGCATTTATTTGAATAATATCAGGATAAGCTCCCTGAATCCCTCAATTACCTAGTCCTGAATTACCAGTATTCAAAAGAACAAAAGTGTTTGGGTAATTCTGGCATGAATTATTCAGATAATTTGCTGTTCCTTGATTTCATTTTTGGATACAAAATCACATTCTCAGTGACCAAAATTGGGAAGAAGAAAAGGCTTAAATTTAAATAACAGTTTTGCAAGTAATCTAACTTGCTGATTCATCCAGGCAGGGATTCCACATTTCCATAGCCCATCGTGATCAGACAGTAATTTACGTGGAGGATTAGTTTAAAAGGGTCCACGGGCATGCATTACACTTCCACTGATAACCAAAACAGGGAGATTTTGTTACTTTCGTGGTCTCCTTCAGAACTTTACTGAGAGCAAATCTCTAAATCCCATCTACTAAAAAATGGGATTCAGGTTCAAAGAATGAACAACTTGCTCTCTAAGTACCCACACTAAAAACTCACTGTAGGTAGGGAGGCTTGTAATCAAAGGGCCTAGATTTAGATGGAGGACACCATTGTTTCTTGGGATAACAAGCTCAGTCCTTTTTGTTTCTCCTTTTCCCTCTTCTTTTTCCCTTTCCTCTCTCCACTCTCCCTCTTGCCAAATATTTATGAAGTCTCTAGCATGTGCCAGGCACCAAGCTGGACACTGGGGTACAGATGGGGGGTGTAGGGAGGCTGTCAAGGGTCCCCACTCTCATGAAGCTCCTCTATGTTTCATGGAGTTTACTGTGTTATAACTCTATCCTCTTAATTC